AAAAAAAAAAAATTCTGTGTCTCCTGGATGCTATGAATTCTCTGTCTCCTGGATGCTACGAAGGTAGGTAGGACATGGTCTTTACTGGGTCCTGTCCAGCCCATGAAACCCAAAGACACAGCTGGGCATGGTAGCTTACGCCTGTAATCCCAGCACCTAAGGAGACTGAGGTGTGATGATGATGATCGCTTGAGCCCAGGAGTTTGACGCCAGCCAGGGCAGCATACGGAGACACCGTCTCTACCAAAAAAAAAAAAAAAAAAAAAAAAAAGTGGCCAGGCGCATACTGTAGTCCCAGCTACTTGGGACAATGCTGGAGCCTGGGTGAACAATGATGGCACCACTGCATGCCAGCCTGGGAGACGCAGCAAGGCCCTGTCTCAGAAAAGAAAAAAGAAATACAAAGGCACAATGTGGTAAGTACTTTCACAGAGGATGGATAAAGGGTCCTGGGATACACAGGAGGGAGAGACTCTCCCTCTCAAAGACAGAATCTAAAAAGGCTGCTTTCAGGGAAACGTGGCCTGAGAGGCCTTGTTGGACAAGTTCCCTTAACGTGCTAAGAAGCAAAGACCTGCTTCACAGGCCAAAAGAACATGCCTCACGCCTGTGTTCCTCAGCAGCCTGCCTGGGGTTTCCTGTGCCAGGCCTCTGCTGCCCCCTGGTGACTATGCTGTGCACACCACCGCCAGACGAGGGCGCCACCCACATGGCTGGCAGACACAGCTGACCCCATGGCCTGTTGGCCACCCATCGGCAGCCCGTTTCTCATTTCTCCCTGTGCTTTTCTTTTTCCCTTTTTCTTTGGAAACAGAGTCGCCCAAGCTGGAGTGCAGTGGCACGATCTCAGCTTACTGCAACCTCTGCCTCCCAGGCTCAAGTGACCCTCCCACCTCATACTCCAAAGTAGCTGGGACTTCAAGCACGCACCCTCATGCCCAGCTAATATTTTTGTATTTTTTCTAGAGATGGGGTTTTGCCATGTTGCCCAGACTGGTCTCAGACTCCTGGGCTCAAGCGCTCCGCCTGCCTTGGCCTCTTTAAATGCCGGGATGACGGGCATGAGCCACCATGCCCAGCCCTCCCTGTGCTTTCCCTCCCATACTCCACCCACACTCCAACCAGATCCACAAACAAGGCTGAGGGGCCCTCCACCTATTCAGAAAGGGCAGCCTTCTGCAAGGACAGGCCCATAAGCATGTGGCTCAGCAAGGAAGTGGCATCTTGCAGAGTGCACAGGTCAACACATGCATGTAAGGGGGGTAAGGCTACCAGGTTAGGTCTTTGTTCTGCACACGGGAGAGCCCTGTGTCCAAGCTTCCTGCCCTCAGTTCCCATATGCTTGTTCATGCCCGTCTGTGAGACCCCCATGACCCTACCCGCTCTTGCCCTGCCCACACCCTAGCTCTGGTGTCTCAACCTCCAGGACTAGGGGCACTCCCGTCCTTTCCCTTACAGACTCGCCTTACCTCCCTGAGACAGAGGAAGAAGTCAGTCCCATGGCTCACAAGGCAAGCCCTGAACCCAGGTATCACTCAGATGCCAAAAACTCCAGCCATCCCAGGAACTGGCACCGCCCCATGGTGGGCAGTGCTGTGCTCTCAGCTGGATGGAGCCCCTGTGGATGCAGCGTGGCAGGCAGCCTGGCTTTCCTGATGCCCCAGCACTTGCCACATGCCACCCATCCGGGCCCCCAGAGCTATACCTGCAGCAAGGCCAGGTCCGCATCCTGGGCTAACTGCTGCAGGTTCTTCACAGCAGATGTGGTCTTGATCACCCGCACTAGGGCAGGGGAACAGTCGACAGGAAGCTCACTCAGCAAGGACTTCTCGTCACTGAGCAGCAGCAGGGCATGGTATGGGCTGAAAAACAGTATCCTGTCATGGAACACACAAAGTGCAGGGTTCCCTGCACAGGTACGCACTTGAGACACAAACGTGCAGCTGGAGCCCCCCAGCCCTCCACTGCAGAGAGAAGAGCCAAGACAGTGATCAGACAGAAGGGCAGTGGTGTGTTCGAAGGCCTTCACAAAATCTGCCTAGGACTGGCCGGGCACAGTGGCTCATGTCTGTAATCCCAGCACTTGGGCAGGCCGAGGTATGTGGGTCACCTGAGGTCAGGATATCGAGACCACTCTGGCCAACATGGTTAAAAACTTCTCTACTAAAAATACAAAAATTATCCAGATGTGATTGCACCCACCTGGCATCCTAGCTACTTGGGAGGCTGAGGCAGGAGAATCCCTTGAGCCTGGGAGGTGGAGGCTGCAGTGAGGTGAGATTGCACCACTGCACTCCAGCCTGGGCAACAGAGCAAGACTCCATCTCAAAAAAAAAGAGAGAGGCCGAGGCGGATGGATCATGAGGTCAAGAGATCGAGACCATCCTGGTCAACACGGTGAAACCCCGTCTCTACTAAAAATACAAAAAATTAGCTGGGCATTGTGGTACGTGCCTGTAATCCCAGCTACTCAGGAGGCTGAGGCAGGAGAACTAACTGCCTGAACCCAGGAGGCGGAGGTTGCAGTGAGCCAAGACCGCGCCATTGCACTCCAGTCTGGGTAACAAGAGCAAAAACTCCGTCTCAAAAAAAAAAAAAAAAAAGAGAGAGAGAAAGAAAAAGAAAATCAAATTAAGAAAGTACACTTTGGGAGGCCGAGACGGGTGGACCACCTGAGGTCAGGAATTTAAAATCAGCCAGGCCAACACAGTGAAACCCCATCTGTACTAAAAATACAAAACAATTAGCCAGGCATGGCAGTGGGCACTGGCAATCCCAGCTACTTAGGAGGCTGAGGCAGGAGAATCACTTAAACCCAGGAGGCGGAGGTTGCACTGAACCGAGATCACACCACTGCACTCCAGACTGGGCGATAACAGCGAAACTCTGTTTCATAAAAAGAAGGTAACTGAGATTCCACAAGTGCTGACTGAAATGCAGAAGGCTGGGGCGGAGGCAACACCATCAAGATGAAGTCCCTCCAGCCATGCAGCCTCCCCCAGGACACTCAGCCCCACATCCAGGCTGCCCTGCCCAGGCCTGAGGTGGCGCCAGCAGGGCCCAGGAGAAACCTGGAATTGGTCATTTCTAGACACAAGTGGACACAAAACTATGTGTTTTGACTTCTATAAACAGCGAGCCCCACCCGCCAGCTTCCGCAGCAGGAAGAGGAAAGAGAATTTGGGGAACAAAGTAAATGGTAAAATCTCAGGCAGACGCTAACAGGAAGGGCCTTGACAGCCAGTGAGCACATGGAGCTAGGCACTCACCGGATGGCTTTCAGGCTCCGTTCGATGGCCTCTGGGGGGATCAGGCTGGAGGCCGCATAGTGGATCTTGTGGGGCAGGCAGAAGCTCACCTCCAGCCAGCTGTTGATGTGAAGCCGAACCACGCCCGACGTGCACAGGCTGCAGAGAGTGGGCGCTGTTACCATGGACACTGTCCACCGATTCACACACTTTCCAACCATGCACACAGATCAGAAAACATCCTGCGCTACAGTGCTGATTCCCCTGCTGCTTAGAGGAAACTGCAGGTGGAGACCTGGGCAAGAGAGCATCTCTTAAGATCTCATTATGTTTAAGAAAAGAAAATACGGCCAGGTGTGGTGGCTCATGCCTGCAATCGCAACACTTTGAGAGGCCAAAGTGGGAGGATCACTCGAGAGCCCAGGAGTTCAAGACCACCCTGGGCACAGTGAGACACACCCCTCACCTTCTTCTCTGAGAGAGAATCTTGCTCTGTCACCCAGGCTGGAGTGGAGTGCAGTGGCATGATCTTGGCTCATGGCAACCGCTGCTTCCTGGCTTCAAGCAATTCTCCTGCTCAGCCTCCCAAGTGGCTGGGATTATAGGTGCCTGCCACAGCACCAGCTAATTTTTGTATTTTTAGTAGAGACAGGATTTCACCATCTTAGTCAGGCTGGTCTCAAACTCCTGACCTCATGATCCACCTGCCTCAGCCTCCCAAAGTTCTGGGATTACAGGTGTGAGCCACTGTGCCCAGTAAGACCTACTCGAAAGGCCACTCTGGCCAACATGGTGAAATCCCGTCTCTACTAAAAATACAAAAATTAGCCAGGCACGGTGGTGTGTGCCTGTAGTCCCAGCTACTTGGGAGGCTGAGGCAGGAGAATCGTTTGAATCTGGGAGGCGGAGGTTGCAACATGAGCCAAGATCACACCACTGCATTCCAGCCTGGAGACAGAGTGAGACTCTGCCTTAAAAAAAAAAAAAGGATTGCTCATGCCCAGGAGTTTGAGGACGTCAAGAATGCAGTGAGCTATGACTGCACCACTGCACTTCAGCTAAGTGACAGAGCAAGACCCTGTCTCCAAAAACAAAACTAAATGAAAAAACAAGAAAAAGAGAAAGAAAGAAAAGAAAATGTGTTAAAAAAAAAAAAAAAAAAAAGAAAGAAAATGTGTTAGGAATACATGCAAAAAAAAAAAAAAAAATCAGCTGGGGCTGGGCGTTGTGGCTCACACCTGTCATCTCAGCACTCTGGGAGGCCAACGCAGGCAGACCATGAGGTCAGGAGTTCAAGACCAGCCTAACCAATATGGTGAAACCTGTCTCTACTAAATTAGCCGGGCGTAGTGGCGCATGCCTCTAATTTCAGCTACTCTGCTGAGGCAAGAGAATTGCTTTGAAGTCCGGCGGCAGAGGTTGCAGTGAGCTGAGATCATGCCATTGCATTCCAGTCTGGGAGACAGAGTGAGACTCCATCTCAAAAAAAAAAAAAAAAAAGGAGCCAGGCGCGGTGGCTCATACCTATAATCCTAGCACTTTGAGAGGCCAAGGCAGGTAGATCACCTGAGGTCAGGAGTTTGAGACTAGCCTGACCAACATGGTGAAACCCTGTCTCTATTAAAAATACAAAAACTAGCCGGGCGCAGTGGCAGGCATCTGTAATCCCAGATACTTGGGAGGCTGAGGCAGGAGAATGGCTTGAACCCAGGAGGTGGAGGTTGCAGTGAGCCGAGATCGCACCATTGCACTCCAGCCTGGACAAGAGCAGAAACTCCATCTCCCCCCAAAAAAAACTACATAAATAAAAGGCTGGGCACAGCGGCTCACACTTGGGAGGCCGAGGTGGGTGAATCACTTGAAGTCAGGAGTTCAACACTAGCCTGGCCAACATGGCAAAACCCCGTTTCTCCTAAAAATATAAAGTATGATTCACGCCTGTAATCCCAGCACTTTAGGAGGCCAAGGTGGGTGGATCACAAGGTCAAGAGATCGAGACCATCCTGACCAACATAGTGAAACCCTGTCTCTACTAAAAAATACAAAAATTAGCTGGGTGTGGTGGTACGCACTTATAGTCCCAGCTACTCGGGAGACTGAGGGGAAGACTCACTTCAACCGGGAGGCAGAGGTTGCAGTGAGCCAAAATTGTGCCACTGTATTCCAGCCTAGTGTCAGAGCGAGACCCTGTCTCAAAAAAAAGAAAAAAAAAAATTAGCCAGGCATGGTGGTGTGCATCTGTAATCCCAGCTACTCAGGAGGCTGAGGCACAAGAATCCCTTGAACCCAGCAGGTGGAGGTTGCAGTAAGCTGAGATCATGCTACCGTACTCCAGCCTGGGCAACAGGGCAAGACTCTGTCTCAAAAAAAAAAAAAAAGGAAAGAAAAAAAAAAAGAAACTTTTTCTGGCCAGCCCTGGAATCTAAAGGTCAAACAGACCTCTAGGGCTTGAGAAAAGCCCTAGGTCTGTCCTGCAGGCTCAGTGCAATAGAGACACTCTAACCCAGGCCCCTGCCCTTCCAGACCCCTGGCAGACATCCGACACCCAAAGTACATCCTCCCTGTGACGGGCCTGCCCTGCACACCTGATGAAGACTAGTCACAAGTGCACAGCCAGGCACTACAGTGCCTGTCTCAGAGGGAGAGGAGGACAGGGAAGGAGTGCCAAGTCCTCCCAGAGCATTCCAGTGGTGAGAAGCACACAGTGCCCACCTCCCTGCACTCTGCAGATGCCCACAGCACTCCAGTTGCAGTGTGTGTGGACAACAAGCGGTCACCACAAGCCAACTGTCCAAGCCAACCCCAACACTTCACTACCATGGAAAACCTTTCACTCCACATTATCTCAGTAATGGCAACTTAATTCTTTTGGGTCTCAAACCTTGCTCAGGCCAGATATAGCAACACCATCCCAGATTCCTTATTTCTTTCACATCCCGCTTCAAACCATCAGCAAATCCCATCTGCTTCACCTGCAGGGATGTCCAAAATCCAGGCCTTCTCAGCATCGCCAGGCCCGAGCCACCCAGGGCACTGACCCGTCTGCCCCCTCCCCATGTCCCACCTGGGCAGTCCCAGCCATGGCCCTGCAACACCCACGTTGCTCTGACCTCATTTCCTGTGCCCACTCAGGTCCAGATGTGCTCAGGACCCTGGCATTTGCCCTTGGCCATGAACTCACTGCAGACACCCCAAGGTTCCTTTATTCCATCAGTCTCCACTCAAATATCATATTCTCAGTGAAGCATCCGTGACCCCAGCCCCACTGGCACTCCAACTCCTTACCTGCTGCCTAATGCTGTCTCCCCAACCAGAACTCACTCTTGAGGAGGGAGGCTTGTGGGTTTCATTCTCTGCTCTCTACACGTTGTAAAATGTGTCAGGCACATGGGGCGGAGCTGCATTTCCTGAATGAAGCCAAGGGACACACTGCCCTCCCTGTGTGTACTATCTGTCCTAGGAAGCCCTGCCCCAAGAACAGGCTACACCGTGCAGATGCAGCCCCCATGTCATCCCCTGGGGGAACCACACAAAAAGAGGAAGGAGTTTTCAGCAGGAGCTTCTGAAACTCCCTGATGGACAAGCCAGCACCCCCACCCAGCTCCTCTGCTCACCACAAAGCCCCCTTGCTAAGAGCCAACTGCACTTATTCTGTGACACAGAGAAGACGCAACTGCTCAAGCAAAGCTGTCTGTGGCTGGTCTTCACTGCATCCCGAGGCGCCAGGCACCAGCGGCGGGATCTCCACCCACTCTGTTAAGGCCTGGCCACTTGAAGTGGCCAGCACCTTCCTTGTGTCCTGCACAGGGAATGCAGCCTGTAAAGCCTCATGATGACACCAGTTCTAAAATAGGAGCAAAACACACAAAGTTCTCCTCCAAACCGCCCATTTCTACAGCACCTCCCCCATCACATTTCCCCTGTTCACTGCCCCATCGCCCAGGAGAGCAGCCAAGTGGTGCTTTTCCCATCACCCCCTGACCCTATTCCGCTATTCTCAGCTCCCAGTTGGCAGGAGAGGCCAACACGCCCCCATCCGGCTGAGTCTAGGAGGCGTGGCCAGACTTCTGCCTGCCCCAGGCCAGAAGGTACAAAGGGCCCCTGACACATCTCTCAGAACACATCAATATGGGGTGCTGAGAGAATACCCTGACGACAGGCAGCCCCACGGCCCTAAGGTCCCACAGGAGGGCACCCCACTCAGCTTCCTCCAGGACTGAGTGCTGACCAAGTATGTCTCAGCGGACAGAGGTTCCCAGAAACTTGCCTCTTTGGTCAGGGTCTTTCCAGGGTGAAAAACTCATATCAAACCTGAGAACTGTCCCAGCCTCTAAGGAATTAAAGATCACATCCGGAGAGATTTGCCCAGGGTACCCAGGTTAGTTACTCAACTTGAGTGAGCAATAGTTAGGATCTTGGTATCTATATGCGACCGGGAAGAAAGGGCAGGCAAGAGGTGGCCCCATGCACTGTGCTGTCAGCATCTGGGTCAGAAAGGTAGGCCGCTGGAAATAAAAGCCCTTTTCTTTTTTCTGAGACAGGGTCTCACTGTTGCGCAGGCCGGAGTGCAGTGGCACCATCTAGGCTCACTGTAGCCTCAATCTCTCAGGCTCAAGAGAGCCTCCTGAGTAGCTGGGACTACAGATATGCACCACCACGCTCGGGTCATTTTTTTTTGGTAGAAATGGGGTCTCACTATACTGCCCAGGCTGGTCTCAAACTCCTGGGCTCAAGTGATCCTCCCACCTCGGCTTTTCAAAGTGTTGGGATTACAGGCGTGAGCCACCGCACCCATCCAAGGCCTTTCTGTTTCTGTGCTATTTAGGATGCGGCTCAAGTGGCTGTGGGGCATCACAGAATCAATACTGAGGCTCCTATCATTTCAAATGTAGCTGTCTTTGCTTCGCCTAGGAGCACAGTGAGGCCTTATGCTCGGTGACAACAACCACCTGACGTGCTGTGGCTCTCAGCGCCAGCTTTGGTACTTGGAGTGCAGCAGGGAGGAAAACAACTTGACTGCTCTGCACGTTGTGGGCTTCACTCAGCGGCATCAAGAAAGATACATAGGCCGGGCACAGTGGCTCACGGCTGTAATCCCAGCACTTTGGGAGGCCGAGGCGGGTGGATCACCAGGTCAAGAGATCAAGACCATCCTGGTC